AGAGTTAATTTTGGAGTTTTGGATTGGGTATGTGGGGGGCACGTGGCGTTGATTAGGGAGACAGAGATGAAAGTACTAGTGCTGTTTCTCAGTGAGTCACAGGGTTGTGGGCAAGGAAGAAGAGAAGTAGATGCCTCCTCTCTCACCTCAATCTTTCTCCTTCAGTCACTGTGTACTTCTGTCTCTTAATATGGAAATGTTAAGATTCTTATACTTATGGGCCTTTTCCCAGAGAATGCAGAGAGCATACAGGATTTTGTCAGAGGTGCAGTTCACCTCTGGATGTTTTCTGGAAAAGTAAATCATGTGTGAAATTGAATAAATTGATGGACTATCAGACTTGGTTTGCTTTTTTCCAGTATAAGCTTTGTGTCTTTGAGACTATAGTGGGAGTGTATAACTTCCTGGCTAGGAAGTTAGAAAAAAAGTGAGAATATGCAAACTATTTAATAGCTTTCACCTAGGAATGGAGGTGGTGACCAGTGGAAAAGAGAAGATAGGTCTGGCTTCTGAGGCCTTGGGAAGACTGGGAAAACTTGGAAAGATTTGGAAAGAATTGGAAAAGGAGTGAATCAAATATTGGCAGATCATTGTGCTTTTCTGGGTTTTGAAGAAAGACTCTTGTGGCTGGCACCATTTCCTATGGCTCACTGCCACTTGAAACTGTATTGTGTGAGGGGGAAAGTGCTTATCAGCAGGTTTGATGGAATAGGGAGTTTGTGAAGATTTCAGGCAAAGAGTTCCATTCAGTCTGTGTGGCTTGTGGTAGGATAAACCTCATCAAAGGGCAAGTCGGAAGACTCGATCTAGTTCCTGGACCCAGCCTAAGTGCTTACCTTGATGTAAATTATCACTCCTCCGTATGTTTCACTTTCATCTTTAATAAAAAGAATATGATAATAACTGCCCTATCTCTGTGGATTTCTGTATTAATTGAAATAATACATTAGAAGTGTCCTTTGTTAGCTGCGCACGGTGGCTCACGCCTGTAATCCCAGCACTTTGGGAGGCTGAGGCAGGTGGATCACCTGAGGTCAGGAGTTGGAGACCAGGCTGGGCAACATGGCGAAACCCCATCTCTACCAAAAATACAAAAATTTAGCTGGGTGTAGTGGTGTGTGCCTGTAATCCCAGCTATTCGGGAGACTGAGGGGGAGGTTCACTTGGGCCTGGGAGGCGGAGGTTGCAGTGAGCCACGATCCTCCACTGTACTCCAGCCTGGGCAACAGAGGGAGACCCTGTCTCAAGAACAAAAAAAAAGGAAAGAAAAGAAATGCCCTTTGTTATACTGTTTAAGATCACATTACCTTTGCAATATTATCTCTTGTAAATTACCTGTTCCAGGAACATGGATCTAGTCACTGACTCCAGTAAACCTTTTACTTTCAGCCGGAAACTTTGGTTTCTGCCTAGACTTCCTCTCTTCCCTGTTTAAATTCCCAGTCTCTCCCTATTTAAACGCCTCTAGTATCCTAATGAAGTACTTTTAAACTGTTGAACAGTCTTTATTTCCCTTTTCTAAATGAAGAGCGGGATATAATTTGGGGCAGAGTCACCACCATGTGGTGTAAGGGTTAATCAAATTTATTTCAGTATGAATTTCTGTTAATACCTGACCATTAGACCTGCCTGCAGCTAGTTTCTCAGATCAGAGGTCAGAATTAAGCTTTAAATGTTGACTTTTAGAGTTCTCCTTGAGAAGCTCCAGATTTTCAGTGTAAAGAGTTACATAGAGAAATGGAAGATCCCTCTGACATTTTGTCATTACAGAAATTTTGATAACTTCAACTTCCAATTTTACATATGTTTGACGTGTAACTTTGCTTTCCTTTAATCATCAAAATTAAAAACAATTTCTCATAGTAGAAAAAATGAGTAAGAATTTGCTAGTTTGATATGGTCAACTAATTTTTGACAAGGGCACCAAGAGGACACAATGGGGAAAGGATAGTCTGTTCAATAAATGATGCTGGGAAAATGATTTCCATAGGCCAAAAGAATGAAATTGGACCTTGTGTTACACTGTGTACAAAAATAAACACAAAATGATAAAATACCTAAATATAGGAACACAAACTATAAAACCATACCCAAAGGAAATGAAATCACCACCTTAAAAAGATATTTGGACTCCCATGATTGTTGTAGCATTATTCACAATAGCCAAAATACAGAAACAGCCTAAGTGTCTGTTAACCTATGAATGGATAAGGAAACTGTAGTATACACAATGGAATATTATTGAGCCCTAAAGAACAAAATCTTGCCATTTACCACAACATGGATGAGCCTGGGAGACATTATGCTAAGTGAAATAAGCCAGACACAGAGAGAGAAATACTGTGTGATCTTAATCTCACTTATATACAGAATCTGAAAAAAAAAAATTCAAAGATAGAGAAAGAAACTGGTTATCACAAGCAGAGGGGCATAAAGGGGAGGAAATGGTAAGAAGCAGGTCAAAGGAAACAACATTACAGCTTTGGAAGATGAGCAGGTCTAGAGATCTGATGTACAACCTGAGGGGTATAGGTTAAAAAAAAAATTGAACTGTAAAATGAATAGATTTTAGCTGCTCTTGCCACAAAAACAAAAACATGGGTAACTATGTGAGATGATGAATATGTTAATTTGCTTCAGTTTAGTACCGTTTCCATCTATCTATATATCCCATAACATCATGTTGTATACATAATAAAATATATCTTTAAAAAAGAATGGACTAGTTGAAAAGAATTTACTAGGTTAACAGAATTGTTCTCTGCAAGACACTTTGGGATTCTTTCGAAAGATTCTAGGTGGGATGTGTTGTTCTTCATTTTTGTACTATCATGATGACTGCTCAGTTTTCTGTTTGCCCTTTCTTAAATTGTTTCATAGTTTCCAACATAAACTTTTAAGAACATGCTCATTGGAACTGAATATGATATTTTATTTATTTTGTGAGACAGGGTCTTGTTCTGTCACCCAGGCTGGAGTGCAGTGGCACTATCACTGCTCACTGCAGCTTCGACTTCCCCAGGCTTGGGTGATCCTCCCACCTCAGCCTCCTGAGTAGCTGGGACTACAAGTGTACGCCACCGCACCAGGCTAATTTTTATATCTTTTCTAGAGAAGGGGTTCGCCGTGTTGCCCAGGCTGGTCTTGAACTCCTGGGTTTAAGCAATACACCCACTTTGGCCTCCCAAAGTGCTAGGATTATAGGTGTGAGCCACCACACCTGGCCTGTGATTTTCTCCTTATTACTAGTTTTCATTGATTTGATTATGATGTGCCTTGATGGGTTTTTAAAAAATATTTATTCTGTTTGGGGTTTGTTGAGCTTCTTGGACATGTGGGTTTATAGATTTCATCAACTTTGGACATTTTTCATCCTTTATTTCTTCGTTTATTTTTCATGCCCCATCTGCTCTTTTCTCTTAAGACTCCAGTTACGTATGTGCTAGACTGCTTTCTGTTGTCCCAGCACTCGCTGATGCACAGTTCAATTTTTTTCGTCCTTCTTCTTTCGTCATTTTGAGTAGTTTTCATTGGTAGTCCATTGGTACACGCTCATTGATCTTTTCTTCTGTGGTGTCTAATATGCTGTTAATCTCACGCTGTTTATTTTACAATTCAAATATCGTATTTTTCATTTCTAGAGGTTTCACTTGAGTCTTTTCTTCCATTTCTGTTTATAATTTTTGTGTTTTCCTCTACTTTCTTGAACATGTGGAACATATTTATAATAACTATTTTAATGTCCTCATAGGCTAATTCTATTAACTTCTGTTCGTATTGATTCTGATTGTATTCTGATTATACAGATTTTACTCCTAGTTGTCAATTATATTCTCCTGCTTCTTTGCATGACTGGTAATTTTTTACTGAATGCCAAACATTGTGAATTTTACATTTGGGATACTAGATTTTTTCCTCTAAGATGTACTTTGTGTTGACTGTAGTTAAGTTGCCAGGAATTACTTGGATCCTTTTGAGGCTGGATTTTAAGTTTCGTTAGGGCTGTCCAGAGAAGCCTTCAGTCTATGGTTAATTTATGCCTGCTGGTAAGGCAGTACACTTCTGAGAACTTTACCCAATGCCCCAAGTGTTAATGAGGCTTTTTGCTTTGCCTGGCGGGAACATGAATGTCCCAGCCTTGTATGAGCTTCGAGAATTGTCTGACCTTCTACGTTGCAGTGCTTCCCTCCCTGGCCTTTGTTAGTTTCGTCTCATTCAGGCACAGGTGAGTTCTCAGCCGAAGACTGAAAGATACCCTTCTGTAAGACCTCCACAACTTGTGCTCCTCTCTTTGCAGCTCCATCCTCTCAGGCACTCTGCCTCACAAATCCTAACTGCCTTGACCTTCCTGAACTTTGTGTTTCTCTTCAACACAGCAAGAACGCTGGGCTTGTTCTGATCGTGGGACCTGCACTGTGGCCTGGAAACTGACCCTGGGAAGTTAGCTGGAGCAATCGCAGAGCGTATCTCATTTGTTTCCCTTCTGTCAGGGATCACAAGCCTGCACTGCTTGTAGTGTTTGAAAATTGTAGTTTTGTTTATATATATATATATAAAATTGCCTTTCTAGTTATATAGGGTGGGAGAGTAAATCTAGTCCCTGATACTGCATTGTGAATGGAAGCAGAGATCGGCAGTTGGCCCCTAAGGTCTTTTTTCACAGCAAAAATTTAACTGAGTAATTTCAAATCTGTGGCATAATGCATAGTATTATATTAAAAGAGCCATGGATGTAGGAATCAAGATCAGGGTCCTAACCCTTGCTCAGTTGCTTAACTTTCTGTTTCTCACATTATGGAGTTCTGCCACCCTCTACCTAGATGACTTAAAGCAGTTAATTTGATTTTGATTTCTCAATTTAATTCTCATCAGTAGAATGAGGGTTAGGAACGTTCTTTATGACACACTGGGGTGCTACAAAGTGTGAAGCCTTAGGTTGAGCTGTTTTCAAAAAGCTTATTATCACTTAACAATCTTTATTTTATTTACATTTTTTATAGGCACCATACTGGACATACCTTTTATGTGCACTGGGACTTTTTATCTACCAGTCACTGGATGCCATTGATGGGAAACAAGCCAGAAGAACAAACTCTTGTTCTCCTTTAGGGGAGCTCTTTGACCATGGTTGTGACTCTCTTTCCACAGGTAAATTAGTGAAGTTTTTTTTTTCTTATGATACCTTAAAAATAAAATGAACTGAGTTGTTTGAATGGTCAGTTTTTTGGATGGATATACATTTGGGAGCAAATTTATGGAGTTGTTTATAAAGTATGTCAAGAATTCATTTTGATAAGTGTACTTTATTTTAATGCCATGATTATTTCCTTAGAACTCTGTATTTCTAAACAGCATAGGGCAATTATTTCATAAATTATTTTTAATTCTTAATGATTCTTAAACTTTGTTTCTTTCAGTATTTATGGCAGTGGGAGCTTCAATTGCTGCTCGCTTAGGAACTCATCCTGACTGGTTGTTTGTCTGCTCTTTTATTGGGATGTTTGTGTTTTATTGCGCTCATTGGCAGACCTATGTTTCAGGCGTGTTGAGATTTGGAAAGTAAGTATGTTTTTTAAGTTGTACATTTAAAAATATAATTGAATTTATTTGCACAATCTGTTATGTCATTCATTGATAATAAGGAGAACAAAGCTTCAATCAGTAATTTAAATTAATTGGTTGGAGTAATCATAAATGCTACACCTTTAGTCTTTTAGGTATTCTATATGTTATAAATAGTTACGTTATTTGATAATAATTGTATTTTTCTTCTCCCCTTCTCCAACTTAATCACTAGCCCAAGTTTACAACAGAGAGGATTAAAAGAAAATTAAGGGACCCGGATGATATAGAAAAGGGATATGCAATACTTAAATAAACATTTGATTCATATAATAAAATAATGCAGTATGGAGTCTAAGGTCCTTTTTTGGTCGAATCTTCATGTGCACAAAAAGGGGACCCCCCCTTGACAACAGTCATCGTGAGACTCTGAACTGTGGTAGGCAATTGGTGAGACAATGTAAAAGCACCTTGTAAATGCTAGTGCTAAACATTAGATAGTATTATCTGCCTCTGGTGCCTCTTTCTTAGAGACCAGGAAATAGTGCACAAAGCAGGAATGTTATTCTCTGTTCCTCTTTCTCATATAGCTCCCTCTCAGTCTGATCCTTTTAAGAACTTTGTCATTTGCTTATTTTTGGCTTTGGCTTCCCATGTCTACTGATTCTTTTTAGCCCCACTTTATTGCTGAAAAGGAGAAACAGTAGCTCTGAAAAAAATCTCTAATGATAAATGACAGGAGAAGCTCAAAACTACAGGTCATTTAGCAGAGGACAGGCTTCAGGCAGTTGATTCTAAATTATGGAATAATTGTATTTACCACCTATCAAGCACTTACATGTTTCAAGCATTGTACTAAGTGCTCCACAGGCATTATCTTATTTATTCCTTATATCTATCCCGTAAGGTGGGTATTACCTCCATCTAAAGACATTGGGGCATCCAGGCAGAGATGTAAAATATGTAGACAGATATCAAAATCTAGAGCTCAGGAAAAAATGTAGATTGGAGATAAGGATTTAGAAGTCATTAGCATATAGATGGTAGTTTTAAGTATAGATAAAATTGTTCACAGGCTATAAAATTTCAGATGGAATTCTGAAAGCATCATTTAAGATATGGATGAAGAGGCAGTCTAGAAGGAGCATGAGAAGAGCTCCAGCAAGGTAGGAAAATCAGGAGAGAACATGGAATAGATAAAAACACAGCAGAACTTTTCAAGAAAGAGGATATGATCAGCATCTTAAATATTGTAAAGAAGTTATGCAAGATAATTAATGAAGTATATCCCTTAGATTTGTATCCTTTAATTGAAATGGAAAATTAAAGGTCAATTTACTTTAAACAATTTTAGTAGAATAATGGGGCCAAAAGCCAGGCTATGGTGGGTTAGGCAACAAACATGAAGAGAGGAGAAAATTACAAATGTTGACTAATTTTCAGTGAGCCTATTCGTGGAGCATAGGAGAGAGAATGACAGCTTCAGGGGAATACAGACTAGAGGGACTGATGCTGGTTGGTTAGTGGGTTTTTGAAAAATTTAAGCATATTTATTAGGGGAAAAATGCCTATGGAAACTAAAAAAACTACAGTGACGATTAGTACCTCAATAAAGAAGACTATTGGGATTTTCCCTACTTTTTAAGTGAAACTGACCTGGGAGTGTTTAAATTTGCCTTAAATTGTATTTACCACCATTACCATGGTTGTTTTTATTATAATTTTTCCTATGTACACAAGTAGTGGGTAATTGTTGTAAAAAAGAACTTCAGACTTTACAGGAGTACCTAAATTAGAAAATAAAAGTCTTCATAACTTTAGTGATAACTATTAGCAATTTGATGTATGGTACATATATATCTTCCCTCTCCTTATACTGTTAACTCTGTGTGAGCACATGTTGTTCTGTAACCTTTTTAACTTAACAGTGTAGTCAGCTGATAATTCAATAATGGAAGTAAAGGTAAAAATAAACTAAGCCTACAGAGATTTTTACATCTTTGCTATTTAATACGTGATTAATCTCCATATTCAGGAATTTTATTTACAAACACTTTATCTATTTTTGTCCTTCCTCTTTAGAGTGGATGTAACTGAAATTCAGATAGCTTTAGTGATTGTCTTTGTATTGTCTGCATTTGGAGGAGCAACAATATGGGACTATACGGTAAATCTGAATATTTAAATTTATATTTAAGTACTTTTCAAATATTTAGGAAAAAGTATTGTATTGTTAATTTTCTTCAAAAATCCTTGGCATTGTATTTCTTTTTTTTCTTTTTTTCTTTTTTGTATTTAATATTTGTTCCATTTCTTAACATTTTTTTCTTCATTTTATAATGTGTATTATCTTATATACCTTATGGCATTTCCTCCTATGCATGAATATATTGCCACATGGAAGAAAACAACCTCATTTCCCTAATACTAAATAAAACAAAAACAATAACAAAAAACACACATTGGAATAACTTTTTCCAGGGTGAAATAAAATAAATATTTTAAAAATAAGTCCAGTAAAATATTTTACATTTAAAACTTGTCACTCAATATTAGGAAAGTAGTTAATTTGCATTTTTATAATCTACTTTGAGGTGAAGATTCCCATATTAAGGAATGTTTTTATTTTCTGCCTCCTTGGTGACCTCAGTATTTTCTTAAAAGTTGGCTCTTAGGAGGCCACTGTCATAAATTGAAGCTTTTTTGCAAAAGAACATTTCTGAAGAAACAATTGTCCTGTCACCACAACCTAAGTCCACCATACTGTCTAACTGGCTCACACTTTCTGCTCATAGTGCTAAGAATAATAATAAGGATATCAATAGTCAACAACTAACAGTCATTCAATACTTATGTTCCTAAACATTTACCATCAGTTTTATCTGCCCTTCCGAATAATCCTACGAAAATAGGTATGATTATTATTATGCTTTATAAATAAGTCTTAGGGTGATTAAGTAATTTGTCCAAGGACACATGAGAAGTACTGGAGCTTGGAATTAAACAAAACTGATTCCAGACTGTATGTAATCACTAAGCTATATATCTAGTAAAAATAGTAAGTGATACAAGACTGAACATAGTTTTACCACATGACCAGCAGTTGCACTCCTTGTTATTTACCTAAATGATTTGAAAACTTATGTCCACACAAAAACGTGTACACAAATGTTTATAGCAGCTTTATTCATAATTGCCAAAATTTGAAAGCAACTAAGATGTCCTTCATCTTAGTTGGATAAACTAATGCCAAAAAGAACTGAGCTATCAAGCCATGAAAAGAAGTTACGCGAGGAACTTATGGAGTTCCAAGAAGTTATGGAGGAACCTTAAATGTTTATTACTAAGAGAAAGAAGCCAATCTGAAAAGGCTGCATATTGTGTGATTCCAACTATATGACATTCTTTAAAAAGGCAAAATTATGGAGACCGTAAAAGGATCAGAAGTTACCATGGGTTGGAGGAGGAAGGGATGAATATGTGAAGCACAGAGAATTTTTAGAGCAATAAAACTATTTTGTATCATACTAAATGGTGGCTACATGTCATTATACATTTGTCATAGCACATAGAATGTACAACGCCAAGATTGAACTCTCATGTAAACTATGAACTTTGGGTGATAATGATGTGTCAGTGTAGGTTCACCAGTTGTAACAAATGTACCACTCTGGTGTAGGATGTTGTTGGCAGAAGGAGGAGTGGCTATATACTTTTCCACTCAAATTTTGTTGCAAACCTAAAACCGCTCTAAAAAAATTAAGTCCATTAAAAACACAGTATGAGGCCAGGAGTTCAAGACCAGCCTGGGCAACTTAGCAAGACCTTGCCTCTACAAAAATTCTTTAAAATTTTAGCCAGGCATGGTGGCATGCATCTGTAGTCCCAACTACTCAGGAGGCTGAGGCGGGAGGGTCGATTGAACCCAGGAGTTCAAGGCTGCAGTGAGCCGTGATCATGCCACTGACTACACTCCTGCCTGAGTGACAGAGCAAGACCCTATCTCTTAAAAAACAAACGAACAAAAAAAACAAAAAACAAAAAACAAATTCCCTGTAGCATTTAGTGTCAGAATTGCCAATTATCATTTGTCAGTAGGCTCCGAAATAGACTTTGGGCATGTTTTTAAATAGTAGTGGTACATTCCCCAGTACATTCATATTCCCTCTCATCATGTAAGAGTAAATAGAATCAAGGATACACTACTATAGGCCCATACAAGATAACAGAGGGATGCTATGTGTTTTTTATAGTAACTGTTCAGGTTGTGCCTGTAAGAAGGTAAATGTACGGGCGGATCACCTGAGGTCAGGAGTTAAAGACCAGCCTGGCCAACATGGCAAAACCCTGTCTCTGCTAAAAATACAAAAATTAGCCAGGTGTGGTGGTGGGCACCTGTAATCCCAGCTACTCGGGAAGCTGAGGCAGGAGAATCACTTGAACCTGGGAGGCAGAGGTTGCAGTGAGCCAAGATCGCGCCATTGTACTCCAGCCCTGGGCGACAGGAGACTCCGTCTCAAAAAAGTAAAAAATAAAAAAGAAGGTAAATGTAGACCTAGAAGCAGTTAGACAACTCTAGTTATTAAGTCAGGTGTGGTTGTCTTAAATTTGGAATTGAATCTTAAAATTGTTTCACTCAATGTTTTGGCGATATCATAGGAAGAAAACATACTGGCTTATTCTTACCAACAAGAATACTTACTTTTGATTCAGGTTTTCTAAATTTAATTATTAACCTGTAGTTTCCACAAATTTTGGTACATTATTTCAGTCTATTTTCTAAACATAGTAGCCTATAGCTTCTGGCAATTCATTGTTACTGTTTTTTAAATCCTTTGCTGCCTTTGGAAGTTTTCTTGAACAGCAGTTGACCAACAGGTAAATATATTGCTAGAGATTTAATCCTGGATATTAACTACACAGATTTTTTGCTTGCATACACATCATGATATTTGTTACATTTATGATGCAAATCATGGTGCCTCCCTTTCCTGTGATGCTACTTTTTAGAAGCTACTAAATTCAAGTGAACTATCCTTTTTCATGTTTAAGTCAGATGAAAGCTTATGACATTAAACATTTAATCATAGTTATGTAAACAGACTAAGCTGGTTTGGTGGATTCATTTTTCACTTATGAAGAAAGCATTTTCAAAAAAAAGTCACTTTAGGCTGGTCCAATGGTAGTTATCTCAGTTGATTGCTCACAGTCAGTTACAGGTCAAATTCCTTGTTTTTCTCTTTTCCCTCCTCACTACTGCACTTGACTACTCTAAAAAAAATAAAACTTTAAAAACTAAAAAAAAGTTAAATAAAAAAAGTTTTTAAGTTATTACTTTGGACTATATTCCAGAAGTTAAGGTTTGATCACAAGAAAAAGGACAGCTTATTGTATAGGGCTTATCATTGTTTATTATTTAATAAAAAACCAACATTCTGTTGTCTTAATTGTTTCTTTCTTCTACCCCTAAAGATTCCCATTCTAGAAATAAAATTGAAGATCCTTCCAGTTCTTGGATTTCTAGGTGGAGTAATATTTTCCTGTTCAAATTATTTCCATGTTATCCTCCATGGTGGTGTTGGCAAGAATGGATCCACTATAGCAGTAAGGCATTAATTTCATCATTCAGTATCAATTTTATGATAAATTTTCCTATCACCAGCTATAAAAAGATTAAAATATGCCAAAGTTCAAGAATGGGGAAGGAAACTAAGTATCTTAAAGAATTCATTTTAGGCACATAGTACAAAAGCATTTTAAAAACAGTTTAAACTGATACTTTCCTCTTTCTACAGGCTTGCTCTGCATAGACTTTTCTGACATCTAGTTTCATTGCTGCACATAATTAAGCATTGCCATTTGTATTGCTGCATTTTTTGCCTTGAACTAATAGGGGAGAGGAGGTAGGGGAGAGGAGGAAGGGTAGGGAATGTGAGTTCCTGATTGAAGGCAGGAAAGTGGCCAGAGGTCAATGGTTTCACGTATGGGGCAATTTATTACTCATCAAGTAAATTTTATTGAAATTTCGCTGAAATATATTTAAAAGAACTGATATTTCAAAAGGTAAAATTTTAGCCTTAATTCTTAAGTGGGTATACTTTGTGCTTGTGTTCCTTACACCTTGCTCATGCAAGTATTAAATATAATGCTTTTGTATTTTTTCATGTTTGTTTTTTAAGACTTCAGTAATTTTAAGTGGGCAAGAGTTGGAATTCCTGCAAACTTTTTAAACAAATATAACACCTATGTTTTTAAAAAGCCTACTGTCATTTTCAAGGTAGTTGAACAGAAGACAAATACTTATTCCAGTGATACCATCTTATACCAAAACATTGTTAGAATGCCTTTTTTAGGGCTGGGCACAGTGGCTCATGCCTGTAATCCTAGCAATTTGGGAGGCCGAGGCAGGTGGATCACTTGAGGTCAGGAGTTCGAGACCAGCCTGGCCAACATGGTGAAACCCTGTCTCTACCAAAAATACAAAAAAATTAGCTGGGCATGATGGCCCATGCTTTTGTAAATCCAACTAACTACTTGGGAGGCTGAGACAGGAGAATGTTTAACGCAGAGCGGCGTTGGCAGTAAGCTGAGACGGGCCACTGCACTCCAGCCTGGGTACAGAGCGAGACTCTGTTTCAAAAGAAAAAAAAAAAAAAAAGAATGCCTTTCGTAGGACTTGCTTTAAACTATAGCATATTCACTTTAATTTCTTTTGTTGTATAGTTCAAAATTTCTATCCTTAAAGTCATTTGGAGCAAGGTTTAATCAGAGTACTAAACATTAGATATGGCATTAGGTATAGCATTAAAAAAAAAAAAAAAAAAAAAGTCTCTTTTAAGACTCGTAAATAGACTTTCGAGACAATTTCAAAGGGATCCTCATAATTGATAAATTATCAATATTTATGAATACACTATATACATAATTCAAAAGCAAAGTATACAATTCATCTAGAAATATAAGTTCTGATATATTTGGAAAAGTTGTCATTTTTTGAGGTATTTTGTCAGTTGATCTCAGTATAGTACCGTGCTTAGGAATACACGTTGCTTGACTGTGGATGATAACATAGAACATTAGTTGGAACATTAAGTTCCATTGAAGAAAACAAGATTTAGTAATGATCATTGTCTACTCTAAAGAATATTTTCGGCTGGGTGTGATGGCTCACGCTTATAATCCCAGCACTCTGGGAGGCTGAGGCAGGCAGATAATGAGGTCAGGAGTTCTAGGCCAGTCTGGCCAACACAGTGAAACCCCGTCTCTACTAAAAATACAAAAATTAGCTGGGCTTAGTGGTGGGCGCCTGTAATCCCAGCTACTCGGGAGGCTGAGGCAGGAGAATCGATTGAACCTGGGAGGCAGAGGTTGCAGTAAGACAAGATCATGCCACTGCTCTCCAGCCTGGGTGACAGAGCTAGACTCCATCTCAAAAAAAAAAAAAATTTTCATTAAAAAAACTGTTAGATGTTTGAAGGATGACTTAAACAGAAGTTAGGAAGCGCTTGGTTTCAAATTCTTAAACTGGTATTTTTCCAACTTTTTTAGGAGCAGATTTTTTTCTTGAATGAGATTTAAGAACCATAATATAAAGTGCTATTAGATTTTTATAATTTATTACTATACAGTGTCATGTATATAATTTTATAATATAGTATTACTGTAATTTTACAGTAAGTTCTAACTTAAAACATGTAAACTTAATAAACAAGAGTAAAGCTGTTCTTGTGAACCCATTCAAATTGGTTATAGATTTAATAACCTCAATACCAAATTTATTTCAATATTTTGTTTAGGATAAGTAGTGCCGAGAGGATACTAATTCACACAGATAAAAAAATGTAAGGTCTGGATTTTACAATTTTACATAAAAGAACATTTGCAGTCTGAATGCAAAAAAAAAAAAAAAAACAGGAGGTGAGGATGTTGGTGTAGAAAGAAACCAGGATAAGCTGGGTGCAGTGGCTCACACCTATAATCCCAGCACTTTGGGAAGCTGAGGCTGGGAGGATCGCTTGAACCCGAGTTCGAGACTGGCCTGGGCAACATGGGGAAACCCTGTCTCTACTAAAAACACAAAAAAATTAGAAAAAAAAGAAAAGAAAAGAAAAGAAAATAGGAAAAAAGAAGGAAACCTGGATAGAACTAAAGTATTCTTACTCTTCTTCATCAGTGATGTTTTGTAGAATTGGCAGAATAAGCTCTATTTCAGTATCTCCGCAAAAATATGTTAATTTGACAATCCACATGTGGATGGCCTTCAACATAGTAAAAGTTGATATAGAATAAACTGCATTAATTTTTAGCCAGTTTAAAATGTGTGTAAATATCGAACTGGAATCAGACATCTGTAGCACTGTATTATGTCTCTGTCACCCTCAGGTTCTGTGAAACCTTGAAAAGCACAACTCAGGTTTATATACTCCTGTAGGCCATACACTACATCACACTGTTCTTTAGGCGTCTTGCACAAAATAGATGGTCAGAAAATGTCTACATTATAATAAATGCAGTGTTAAAGTACAATACTGATTTTCTGCTTTATCTCTTAGGGCACCAGTGTCTTGTCACCTGGACTCCACATAGGACTAATTATTATACTGGCAATAATGATCTATAAAAAGTCAGCAACTAATGTGTTTGAAAAGCATCCTTGTCTTTATACCCTAATGTTTGGATGTGTCTTTGCTAAAGTCTCACAAAAATTAGTGGTAAGAAATTTTTATGATTTATGATATAAATAATATACTGAATTCTCTAACACAAAGCTGGAAATTTCATAAAATGTATAGGTTTTCTTTTGTAGTGTCAAAATCATAATAATTAGCTATTTGTGCTCCAAGCAAACTGTGATAGGAGTTATATTATATTCAGTTAAATTGTTTAGCTGTAGTTGTCATTGACAGTTTTCTGATATCAAGAAATTTTAACATTGGAAACTTTAATAAGCTACCCAATTGTGAATTTGAGAAGGTGTAGAAAAGGATTCTTATATCAAATGTGAGATTAAATGGTCTGTTTTAATACTGAATTAAAGTTGTAATTAATTGTCTTAAAAGCTAATACATTTAAAACTTAATAGTAAAATTATTTTGTTTCATTTTCTTATAGATAGCTCACATGACCAAAAGTGAACTGTATCTTCAAGACACTGTCTTTTTGGGGCCAGGTCTTTTATTTTTAGACCAGTACTTTAATAATTTTATAGACGAATATGTTGTTCTATGGATAGCAATGGTAAGTATTTTTCTCCATTTTATTTATTTTTTAACCATGCTTAAGAGCTATTTCAGTGAGATATCAGTAGCCTCAAGATCTAGTCTAGGCCGGGCATAGTGGCTCACGCCTGTAATCCCAGCACTTTGGGAGGCTGAGGTGTACGGATCATTTGAGGTCAGGAGTTCGAGACCAACCTGGTCAACATGGTAAAACTCTTTGTCTGTACCAAAAAATACAAATTATCCGGGTGTGGTGGTGCATCCCTGTAATCCCAGCTACTCAGGAGGCTGAGGCAGGCCAGTCACTTGAACCTGCGAGGCAGAGGTTGCAGTGAGCCGAGATCATGCCGCTGCACTCCAGCCTGGGTGACAGAGCGAGACTCTGTCTCAAAAAAAAAGATCTACTCTATACAATATATACAATAAATGTTTCTGAGTATTTGAAATTACTTCTTAGCTGTGAATAATTTCATATTGTGTGTAGAAATGGCCACATATCTATAGGCCAAGTTTCCAACAACCTAGATTCTTGGAAACACAACTGTGTACCTAAAAATAACTATTATTTTTCTTCCCCAAAATACCAGTATAAAGATGCCAAAAGCCACTTTACTCTGCCCAAAGGACTTTATTCCCAGTTTACAGCAAGTAACAGGAAAATTAGATGGGGTTAGTACTAGCAAAGGTGGGCACTTTATTGTATTGAGAATTGTCAGCTAATATTGAGGAAACAAAACAGAATAGACAGTGCTACAAAGTACAGGATTCTCAGACCATTTTATGCTAGACGTAAGGAACCCTTTATATGTGTATGGTCCTTGAGGATAGTGCACAATTTGTATTAATGATGACTCGGTCATCAATTAAATTAAATTCTCTTTGATTATATCCTGCTTAAGGAAAGGATGTGGATGTCGTAGATATTAATTTCTATTCAAAATAATTATAAAATACAGAATATAGTGCTTGAGAGAGACACATTAGCCATCTAAGGAAAAGAAAATCAATATTGGTAACAATTCAATTACAAAGTTGGATAAATGGAGCATTATTGCATTTTTCTTCTATTGAGATATAGTTTTGTTGTATTTCTATTTCTGGACCCCACTGGTCGTCACCAAATTCATAGTGATATATAAATATACTGAAGTACACCAAAACAAAACTCGCCAAAACCCTGCAGTGAATCTTTTCATAATTCAAATAATCTCACCGTATTTGTTAGATTTGGATATTTTAAAAAATGTGTATCAATTCTGTGCATGGATTACAGGAATACATCTGATGATCCTTTACTAGGTTGTGTAGTATGCTTTTCTGGAGTAAGTTAATAACATAATATTCATTCATAGTCCATTCAGAAGTCTTCCATTCTTCTTATGGTGGCAATGAGATGTACTTAATTCTTTGAGGTGGACAATGAATGTTTTCAGACAAAATTTTTTAAAAAATGTTTAAAAATCAGAATAATGTCCTTTAATTTGGTATCCACTATAAATATTTTTAGGGCTCTAAAACAATCCAGTTTAAAAAATAGGGGGTAATTAATCAAAATATCTGAAAACTCAATGTAAGTTTTCTTTTAGTGAACTTAGGTATGTATTACCAAGTGGAATTGTTGAATTAAAATATCAGGTGTTAAAAAAATCAATCATCTTTTGTAACAAGTAATTGGCTTGGTTTATACTTGTGATGCAGACTGGTAAACTGAGGAAGTCAAATTCAGTTTTTATTTAAAACACTATGTGGATGACCAAAAAAAAAAAAAAAAAAAAAAGCCACACCCACAATGTGGAGGTAAACATGGTGCTTTTCAAGTACGCTTTTAACGTAAATGGTAGAGATTTTCCCCTCATGGGGGAGAATTCCCTCTCCAAGGGCAGAGCTATAAGGCTCCTTTTTCTCCTGGGTTTCATTTTCTGAAGAGAAGCATTTGACTGTAGACTCTGGGCAAAGTTTCTAAATAGAGGCCATCTTTAAATTTGTAAACATAATTTTGTATATGCCTCAAGTATGGTATCTTTTTTAGACCTTTTACCTTCTTACAACTAACCTCAAAGAAATAGAAATGTTTGATGGAATTAGTTCATTATAAGATGACTGATAACCTCTTCTAGAAGGAAATTTGCTGTGTAGTGGCACAGTAGGAAGTTGAAACAATGTGGAATCAGGAGACTTGGGTTCTGTTACTTTCTAGCTTCTGTATTTTAGTCATCTTTTTTTACCTCTGAGCCTCAGTGTCTGTAACTGTGAAATAACCTGCATTTTCCAGAGGACTACAGTGAGGTCCAAATTTGAAATGTATTAAAGTGCTTTAAAATGTAGTATTTGCTGGGCGTGGTGGCTCACGCCTGTAATCCCAGCACTTTGGGAGGCCGAAGCGGGTGGATCACCTGAGGTCAGGAGTTCGAGACCAGCCTGGCCAACATGGTGAAACCCCATCTCTACTAAAAATACACAAAATTAGCTGGGCGTGGTGGTGGGCACCTGTAATCCCGGCTACTTGGGAGGCTGAGGCAGGAGAATTGCTTGGACCTGGGAGGTGGAGGTTGCAGTGAGCCAAGATCACGCCACTGCACTCCAGCCTGGGTGACAGAGCGAGACTCCATCTCAAAAAAAAAAAAAGTATTTTTGGTATAGAATTTTAGGTTAAGGTTTGATATTTGGGGGAGAAACAGAATAGTGCTACTTGAGAAAAGATACATCATAATTCATTTTATATTTTCTTTTTTGCTTCTAAAGGTGATTTCTTCATTTGATATGGTGATATACTTTAGTGCTTTGTGCCTGCAAATTTCAAGACACCTTCATCTAAATATATTCAAGACCACATGTCATCAAGCACCTGAACAGGTTCACAAGCATATTGACTGACTAATAGCCCAAGGAAAAGAGATGAAGTTAGGGGAATCTATGAGTGAAGGAAATCCCCCTGTGCAGGAGGCTAGTATACCATAAATAAGGTTATATTTGAATATAAAACATAAACCCTGTAGATTTTGTTGTGTCTATTTCAGTTATGACATCCCCATTGTATGTATTATCATTTTTTATCACAGATGTTCTCAGAATAGTCTACATATTAATTAGAAACAAGACTAAAGAAAGAAAGGTCAATCCTGAGGGCAACAAAGTGAACCCTGTAATTCTAAGTAGCAGTTTGTCTCTGAGACGTATCAGACACAGGGTTTTCACTGCCAAAGGATTACATAAATATCCAGAACATAAAGGATTTTAGCCATCTTGAGGGTGCTTACCTTGATTGCTAAAAACTGAAAGTAAGCTCAATACTGCTTAAGTGCATGGCTTATAATATTGTAATTACTGAGTCAAGTGATGTTCTAAGAAATGTTTTATACTAATCATTTTTCAAAAGAGGCATGTTAATTAGTATGTCATAAAAAAAATACTTGTTTTTAGTATACTAGAATTTAAAAGGGCTACAGAAATTTTTTAAATAAAATGTGTATTTAATAAAAGGAATTTGTTGTACCAGTTCAGAAAAACATACGAATCTTTACACTGAAGGTAACTTGTTCCTTGATATTTTAAGTTAAAATTTCACTGTCACCAAAAAGTGGATGTTAAATATTCCCTTTCATGAAAAATGAAACAGTAGCTAAAAGTCAGTTGACATGTAAGAAAATTAGTAACTTAGAAAAACATGGTAAAAAAAACTTCCTTTTAGAATATAAAAGTTACTTCAAGTATACACTGACTCATTTGAGGTGATAAGGGACAAAATAAGTAAAAGTTTTCAACCACTAAGTGCATTAGGTACTGATTCTTATCTTTCCCCTCTAATTTAAATGTATTTGGATTACTCATTGTGAATAGTACTAGAATTATTACAAAGGTCTCTGGGGATCCAAATCTTCAGATTCCCATCTGACCCTATTTTTAATTTTATGTAATAGTTCAGTAGACCGTATGCCATATGATGAAGTAATCAAAAAATAAAGGAGTAATTTATGTACTACATCTGTTTTACGCAAGAAAAAGGTATATTGACGAAAACAGTAAAAGATGATATTCCTTAAAAGCAAAAAAAATATGGGAATGAAGTACACAGCAAACACTAGAGTACTTATTTTGCCTCTAACTATTGGTAAAACTTCCCAAATAAGGACTTTCTTACGAGGATGAATAGTACTTACAATTTATATTCCAATATATATATTGACTTAAAAGGAAAATCCTTTACAAAGTTCAAAAATTTAGGAAGTAATGTCAAATATTAACGGTGGAAGACTAATTTCTTCCTGTACAAGTAGGTTGTCACAATTAGAAAAAGTTTATCTGTAGGCACCTGTTTTTTTAAAACTTGGAAAACCTTATAACTAAGATAAGGGTGAGTTATAGAGGCAAAAATTAGAAGTTAAAACATGGAAAAGCAGGAGACCAGGCATGGTGGCTCAAACCTGTAATCCCAGCACTTTGGGAGGTCGAGGCGGCCAGATCATTTGAAGTCAGGAGTTCGAGACCAGCCTGGCCAACATGGCGAAACCCCATATCTACTAAAAATACAAAAATAAGCTGGGCGTGGTGGCAAGTGCCTGTAGTCTCTTGGGAAACTGAGGCAGAATTGCTTGAACCTGGGAGGCAGAGGTTGCCGTGAGCTGAGATTGCACCACCACACTCCAGCCAGGGTGACAGAGTGAGACTCCATCTCAAAAAATAAATAAACACAGATGTGATATATGTAAACCATAAGTAATTAGGAGTGTTAATAATGTGCTCTTAATTGCAGACCAAGCCCAATTAAGTGATATTTTAATGTCTTTGTGGCAATGACATATTCACAAACCCATGTATTAAAACTGATATTTATATATTGTTCTATTGCTAGTGATTTAATGCTCAGAGGTTAATGATTTTAACAATTTATTCCAGAACACAAATTTAAATGCATCTTATTGTCATTAGAATTGGTTGTATAACTTAAGTATTATAGAAAAGGATGTACATGTAAAATAGATTTTGTATTCCGTTTTTTCCTTAAAGAATATAACCTTCTATACTTGCAGTTTCTACCTTTTGGGATTGATACACATACAATGAAGCCAAACCTAAACTTAAATCGTCTTTATTTAATTGACAGTGTTAGAGAGAAAAATTCCCTATCATTACTAAAGAGTTGAAAGCTTAATACATATTCTTTAGGAATAGTTGCTAACTCATATAACTATTTAGATTTGACTTAACAGAAAGGGAGGTCTTACAATGAAACAGGTTTATGATTAAAGATGTTACAATTAAACTATTCTAAAGACTTACAATATGCTTCTTAGCTAACATTATAATTGTATCATATTACTTAGGTTCAAGTTCTTTCTTCAAAGAGTCATCAGAATAACATGGATTGAAGAGACTTCCGAACACTTGCTATCTCTTGCTGCTGCTGTTTCATGGAAGGAGATATTAAACATTTGTTTAATTTTTAGTTAAGTGTTATACCTATTTCAGCAAATAAAATATTTCATTGCTTATATTAATCCTTATTTTTTTCAATTTCAGTATGATCACTTACAGTTTCCATCATAATTTTTTTTTGCAACATAGCCATTTCTTTTTTAAATTCATTTTGTGCACCAGTAAGTAGATTATCATGATTCTTCTCCAACTCTTCCATACTCTAAGAACACAAAAAACTAGTTAAGTTACAAAGCACCACTTTTCATCTCAGGTTCTAAACTTGTACAATTAATTTTCAAAAGTAGTAATTTTTAAATATTCAAATGCTCATTATTTATTTGAAATAAAAATATTCTAAGTAATACATGAATACCAAAATACCTACTATAAAAGAAAAAAATATCAGACATGAATAAAATGTTATAGGAAGTACAATGTAGTGTACTTTACCCAAAATTGGTTTCCTGAACTGTTAAGGTCAAGATAAAAAAGACTGGAAGTCCCATATCAGTAAACATCATTTCTATTAAGCTTTCCAAATATCAAGTAATAATCTACTTATGACTAATAGTGTGCCATGAATTCACTAGAGGGAATAAAATAATCTATAGTACAACCTCTTTCATGTTATGAAAAATAAAAATTATGTCTTACATCTTTATTATTCATTCAACAAATAGTTAATCTAGTGCCTACTATGTAAAAGGCGCTTTATTAAGCACTGTGGAGAAATTAAAAAATAATAATACATGATTGCTTCCTGATGGCAATGAGAAAAACATGTAGAAACAAAACAAAAATTTTGTAATAGGAATGGAAGCACAACTTGCTATGGCGATATAGTGGAAAATGGGGATTAATTCCAATTTAGTGGGCAAAACACTAAGATTTCAATAGATAAAGAAAAAGGAGTTAAAAATATTCTAGGGGAAGGGCATAAGCGAAGCATGGAAGTACATAGTGAGTTGAGAGAAAGCAGTTATGTGGAGGGGTGGGGTAATGCACAAATGTAGTAAATGAAGCTTACAAAGAGGGTCATGTCATAGAGGAATCTTGAATACCTAAGAATTTAGAATGGGAGGCTACTGACAGTTTTCAAGAGGGAAGAGATATATTTTTAAAAGATAGTATGACAGATCTAGGAAGGATAGATTGGAGAACAGAGAAATCAGTTAAGAATTTTAATGGTACAAGCAAATAATAATGAGGTCCTAAACTAGGGTAGTAGCAGTGGGCATTAAAAGAAAGAACCACTGCAGAAGTAAAACTTACAGAGCTACTAATAACTGGATGTGACAGAGAAAGGAGATGGAAGAATCAAAGGTTATACTATAGTTCCTATCCTAAACAGTAACATTTAGTGATAACATTTGGAAGAAATCTTCTAGTACTTTATCAAACCTTCACACAAATTACCAAATGGTTCTCGGAGCATTAGAACAAGTTTTCCACTTGGAAATACTTTTTAAAATAATGTGTGTGTGTGTGTGTATAATTTTTTTTTTTTTTTTTTTTGAGGCAGGGTCTTGCTCTGTTGCCCAGGCTGGAGTACAGTAGTGTGATTTCAGCTCACTGCAACCTTTGCCTCAAGGGCTCAAGTGATCCTCCCACCTCAGCCTCCCCAGTAGCTGGGACTACAGGTGAGTGCCACCATGCCCAGCTATTTTTGTTTGTTTGTTCTTAATAGAGATGGGGTTTTGTCATGTTGCTCAGGCTGGTCTTGAATTCCTGGGCTCAAGTGATCTCTTGCCTTGGCCTCCCAAAGTGTGAGCCACTGTGCTTGGCCACATATATTATTTTTAAGTTATTCTGAAATATTTATTTTAAAACAATTTTACTAGTTTACTCAGAGCATCCCAATTCCTTTAATGTTATTTTAACATGTATTTGCACAAGAGTATCTAAAGGAACCACCACTGAAAAAAAGTATATGCAAGATTCCATTGAGCTTTTATGAAGAGTTACTAAAAGGTATATTTCTGCCTGAACAAGAGGGGTACAGGCACAATTTGCTAATATGTATGTGTCAGCAGATAATTATCAATCCACAGACTTTTAATCCTCAAATGTCTATTATATCTATTATTTTACGTTGGATTCATTTGTGGTCACTGTAATCATTCTAAAAGCAAATGTGCCATAAAATACTTCTATTATACATTTGAAAACAAGAGATTTCAATAATTTGGGTACTTTCTATTTAACAAACACTGGGCAAACAAAAACAAGTAAAATACAACCTAAAAATGATTACTATAGACTCTATTTTCAGTTAAACAGAGAACTATGACTAAAGTGTTATTAAAGTATGGATTTTATGCATGATAAATACATTTCTAAGTAAAATTCCCATTTTACCATTTCCTGTCTTGAATAATCCCAACAAAACCATTTGAATCCTCAAGTAAAAATACATTTATCACTTAAATCAGAAACAATGAATTCAAAATGGAAAAGTAGTTAAAGTCTAAAATGTTTTTTTCCCATAAACTTAGAAAGAAAATAATTATCTTCTACTTCCATAAATAATGTTTTATAACAATGTATTGTCACCACATACAACAAACCTTTATGAACTGCTCATATAACTGTCTAATTGTTTTCAGTCTCTGGCTCTGAACAATTCTAGATTGTTGAAGAATCTTTTGTTGCTGTCGAAACATATTCTACAAATAGAAAAAAAATAACAATTTGGGTAAAATTTTAAATTTAGAAAAAATAATTCTACATTAAAAGAATGTGTTAAAAATCAATGCTTTTAAAATTTAGTTTTAACAACTATTATGACTATGTTTAGATAATTTACGTTCACCACTAATATGTAACAATACATTAATCCTACCAGTTGCTGAACGGGAAATTTTAACAATAATCAAGACGTCTTAATTCTTGGTGATTTCAATGTCCACACAGATGATCCTTCCAATAATAATGGTTTTCCATTCCATCACCTGTTTCTCAATGATTTTGGCCTCCACCCTACTTTAGCCATTGACTTACATACTCCCACCCTAGATTTTGTCATTACCAATAACCACTACACAGCATTAATAATGGTAAACTAAGAGATAGATACTCATTCCCCTTTCATAGATGAGTAAACTGAGGCATAATCTGTCCATGGTTTCACAGCTACAATTGCTCAAACAAGAATTTGATCCCAAACAGTACTGTTGCTGGCATCCAGGCTCTAACCATTACACATACTGTCTCTCTATATATCCTAGTATTTAACCACTACTTCTTTACCATTCTAACTTACTCTCTTTAGTACTACAGCTCAATAATCTATCAGCACCACAAATCCATCCTATCTATTTCACAGTGTCATCCCTACCCCTAATATCCTCACTTGCAGGTTAACACAAGTCTGGCCATTAAAAGTCAACAATGTTCTGACTACAGACATCCCTAGGTATCCTGGGGGACCAGTTCCAGGACACCCAACCCTTCAGGAGACCAAAATGTGCAGATGCTTGAGTTCCTGATACAAATTGGCATCATATTTGCATATAACCAATGCACATCCTTCCACAAACTTTAAATCATTTCTAGATCTCTTATAACGCCTAACACAATGTAAATGCTATACAGTTGTAACACTGGATTATTTTTCTAATTTGTACCTTTTTTGATTTGTACCTTTGTTTTCTTTTTTTTTTTTTTTTTTTTTAAGAAAGGGTCTCCCCGTCACCCAGGCTGGCATGCAGTGGCACGATCTCAGCTCACTGCAACCTCCGCCTCCTAGGTTCAAGTGATTCTCCCGCCTCAGCCTCCTGAGTAACTTGGATTATAGGCACGCGCCACCACAGCCTGGCTAATTTTTGTATTTTGAGTAGAGATGGGTTTTCACCATATTGGTCAGGCTGGTGTCAAACTCCTGAACTCAGGTGATCCACCCACCTTGGCCTCCCAAAATCCTAGAATTACAGGCATGAATCACTGCACCCAGCCTCTTCCAAATATTTTTCGTCCACGATTGGTTGAATACAGATGTGGAGCCCTTATATACAGAGGGCTAACTATACAATGATTGGTTCAAGAATGGACAAATGATCCAAACTACATCAGTCATATTTTCCCACAGGAATTTTTTGCCAGAGCTATTGAGAAAGATTTTCTCAGTCCACTGGGGTTACTAAATTTCTAATAAGCCTAGGACTGTAAAAACTATCTTGCTACTACATTGAGACACCTTACTGAGAACTGATGACAGAACCCAGATGACATTACATGAGCAACCCCCTTCCCTGTTCCTATCTGGCTATGCCTGAAGCTAAACTGCCCCGACTTCTTTTGTATAAACCAATAATCCTTCTTTTGCACTTTGACAAATTTCTGTCACTTGGAAATGCAAGAATCCCAAACAATATCAAAAGCAAAGACCAATGCCTTTTATGAGTATGGTAAGTGCCTATATGTCTGTGGTTTACAGTTCAGCAGGACTAAAACACATGGCCAGCAATGGTTAATGAAACCTGGCTTAGTTCCATTGGTCAGAGGAAAAGGCTAGGTTCTCCATTCCTACTTGAGACTTAGTTATAACGGATTAATTATAAACCTAATCATGATACCAACAAGTATTTTTTCTTCTTGTTCCTCAGCTTTCTGCATATCTAAATCCCACTGCTGAAACAAAGTCAGAAACTGCTGAGAATATTCTTGGTTTAGCTTCTGCCTGTAAAACATAATGGTGAATTCTTGTCATATTTCATAACAATATAAAAAGAATTTAAAACAAAACTGAGTTGACATATTTATACTATATAAGAAAAGGAAATACCTGCAGCTTAAGTCTTCCGATGGGAAACCAAAAAGTAAAATTATGATTTACACTGATTCCAGAAGTATTTTTTTTTCTAACAAACTAAAAGAAGAAAAGCCCTGTCACAAGCTTCAGCTCTTGAAAACTAAGGAAGTTTTATTATATATATAAATTTTCAAAAAGGAATTCATCTTATCTCTAAGCAGTTTTTCATTTTTTTCCTATTGAACATAGGTTCCGATATAATAAATAGATTAAATAAGGTGATTGTATTCATCCTATAAGATTTCTAAATAGAAATAGTTCACTTAATTTTTTTTCCTATTTTGGCTTAACAAAGATTTTATGCAAAAGAAGAGTTAAGTCAGCTAAAACATACAAATTATATATGATATAAGATTGGTGTTTTTCTACATTGTTGAACATAATTCACCATCATAAGACTCACGGTTTTTATGACATTTACCTTTTATTCAACTAGTGTGTTTCTAGAATGAATATAAATTACTTTTAGGCTAGGCATGGTGGCTCAGGCCTATAATCCCAGCACTTTGGCAGGCTGGGGTGTGAGGATCACTTGAGCCTAGGAGTTCAACACCAGCCTGGGCAACATAATGAGACCCCCATCTCATAAAACAACAACAAAAAAAGAAATTACTTTTATAACCTCACTTGTTACCTAAAAGGAAAAAAGTGATCTTTATTCATTTTTTAGGAAATAATGTCAATTCTATAAAGGAGTGAGGTTATAGGGCTACAGGACTATCATACTTAGAGAAAAATCAAGCCAAATACATTTTCACTAGAAACCCCAGTAACTAGAATAGTATTTTTCTTTTCTTTTCTTTTTTTTTTTTTGACAGTCTCACTCTGTTGCCCAGGCTACAGTGCAGTGTCACGATCTTGGCTCACTGTGACCTCTGCCTTCTGGGTTCAAGCAAGCACGCCTGGTTAACTTTTGTATTTTCAGTAGAGATGAGGTTTCACTACGTTGGCCAGGCTGGTCTCTAACTCCTGACCTCAAGTGATCTGCCCACCTTGGCCTCCCAAAGTGCTGGGATTACCGGCATGAGCCACCATGCCCAGCCTAGAATAGTATTTTTCATAAGTAATTTACACCAGTAAATACTAAGAAATGTGGCTCTAAAAAAAACAGCCACCTTACCTTTGATCTTGTTGTGTTTTCCAAACATGTTCGATTTTCTGGTTACTAGTTTTGAGAGAAGCCTTTGTATACATTTCTAGTCTCTTTCTCTTGGCAAGAAGAGCCTTGTTAATGTCAACTAGATTGAAAATAATAATTCATTAAAATTTAATGTTGAAAAAAGTATTTTGTTCCCACATATTCAAGTAAATATGGGTAAGGTTGGTTCAGCAATATTGGAAAGACATTTAAACATAAATTTAGAAATATGCATAATTTCAAAATGCAGAATTATTTGCTTACTTTTTTTTCTGAGAAAACTTTCTATTACTAGCACCCAAATTCTGATTTTCCTAACTGGAGATAATTTTTTAACTTAGGAACAATAA